TCACGTTGCACAAGAACTCCGTATTGATGGCCTCAGCCAACTTCTTCCACAGAAGCCTTCTTGTGCTAAACAAAAAGCAAAGCACAGTTAGTAGGAAAGAAGGAAGCGACGTAACGTGACCCAAGTCTTGCAGTAGCACATGAACCTTTCCTTAGTACTTCATATGTGTAGCTTTCAGGGATAATTGCTAGGGATGTTCGATTATTCGAAAATTTTGGATAATGAATCAAACAGCACTGTATTCGGTTCCTAAGTCGAATCGAATTGCACATATTCTAAGTAACAAATATTCTTTTAATAATCGGCACTGGCGGGAGAACCCCAAAACAACGAAACAGCTACAAGTCATTCTTTCAATCCCTAATGTGACCTGTACGCAGCCCAAGCTTTTGCAAGACTACCTACACTATATTGATTGTCGAATGAATGCGCTTCTGAAAGCTCCATTCTTGCTCAATTTTTACTGCACTTTAGCTGTATCGCATTTATCAGCTCCTGTCTTCGTCTTGTAATAACCAAAGGTGGGAACTACGAGTGCTTGCAGCTTCACGACTAGCAACAGATACAAGTTTTGCGTTTGCGTAAATTGTTCTTGCAGATGTAAATTTCAACGCCCATTGTTATCCGCTTTTAGTGCGCAGGCCATGTTGTGATGACGGGTTGATCTGCTCCGTTACATATTTAGTTGTATCTGCAATGTTTGGTTGTAAATTGTTTTGTTTTTGTGTCCCAATTTTATTTAAAGTGAGGTGACAAAGTCTCACGTTGATAACGCTAGTCAATGCCGTAGTTGAACCTACAATTACAAAATGTTACGAATATTCTAGTTCCTGCTGCATACGAGATTACCTTAGTTTTCGTAATTGTGGTATTTTGAGTAGATTCAAACTGACTGTAATGGCCTTTGTCGAAAGTTTGTGACTATTTGTTTCAAATAAAATGTTCTGTTCTAAGGCTGTTTTGAAAATGGTCTACTTACTATTCAAACAGTATTCAATTACTATTTGTATTCTATTTGGTGCCATTACTATTTGACTCTTACTTGATTAGGTTCCGAAATTCACTATTCACACACTTCTGATAACTGCGAACGTTCTTTTTGTGCGGGAAGCATTATGTTGGAGAAGTTGAACATTGTGTAAATCACTCTTTTGGATCATAAAGCTTCACTAAGGAGACAGCCATATTCTAACCTGTCTTTGCATTGTAAAACATGCAGCTGCGCAACCTTGTTTGCTGACACGACGGCGCAGTCTAGGTTCAAAGATAGGGTAGCACGTGTCAAGAAGCATATCTCTTTTAACAATGAGCTGCACCATCTTGAAAAGTGGCAGTGCGAGAGAAATGCGGACAGACAGTGAAGACACAAGGACTGCAGGGCGAGACTTGCTAGAGATGTGCCTCAGAATAACAACATGCAATTCCCTCTAGTGCAAATTCTCAAGGCAGCACTACACTTGCAACATGGCTTGAGCTTGGAGGTGCTGCACCTTTTCGGCAAGACAGCGGTTGTGCAATGCCCAACACAAAAGCACCGTCGCTGTTTTTGAAGATCACTTGACTTAATGAAACATTACGAATGCCTTCGTTGTGTATATATGTGCGTGACTATACATACTGTTTGTGTGTATATGTAAACGTATATGTCACAGTCAGGCGCATAGCCAAAATTTTTTTTCAGTGGGGGGGGGCAGTAAAATGTAAATTGCTGGCAGTAAAATGTAGGCAACAATAACCATCGCCATTGTGAACTTCATGCGCCCTTATCTTGTTGGTGCTTGCCTAGAGTGAAACGGAATAATAAAAAGCTGCAAATAATTTTGGACATAGGATGACATACCGAAGTGCCCTGGTTTTTCCCACCAAGTCCTTCATTTCCGAGTATTTGGCGATGAAGAACCTTGTTTTTCGGGCGCTCCAAAGCTCTTCCACATCTTCAGCCGACGCGGCTGCTGCTGGAAATGCGGCTAAAGCCCCATCGCTGTCAACGTCGCCGTCGCAGGCAGGAGAAGGCGTCGGCGGTTGTGCCGGAGGGGGGTCATTTTCACGATTCCCTGCCATGAACCGCAACGTAACGCGCTTGCCGTCTGCAAGGGCGAAAACCAAGATTAAAAATACCGACATAGCATAAGCAATGCTACGAGGCTGTTTGCTGACCGACTACGACTCCTGGCCGCTAACCACGTTTTTTGGCAATGCATGCAGCCTGACTTACCTGATGCCTCATAGACGTAACCGTTGGCGTCCGTCATAAATGACCCGTCGGGATTGTGAAGTGCCTTAACTTCCTTTTGAACGCCCTGAACAACTATTTGCAACGTCGTCTGCTCCGGCCTTGGGGGGACGCCCGCCATGCTGCACTACTCTGCACCTGCTTTGGAGTGCGTGCACGCCGGTACAGAACTCGTCAGGAACTAGGCTTACACCTAGACAAAACGAGGGAGCCAGTGCAGAGGGTGCGACAGAGGGCGCGCGCTGCTCCGGCAAAACGAGGACGAAGGTGCTGCACCCTTTGAACTGGTTCAGCCGGTGCAGCCAAAACGAAGAGACCAACAGTCTACAGGAGGTCGCTCAGGTTTGTTGACTTAAGGTAAAGTAGCAGTGCTTTAGTTGCTTTCTGCACAACTGAGGCAGACGCCCAAGGTCCTGGTATCTTCTGCACACAAAATGGTCCGGGGTCAAGTCGATTCAAAACCATCCGGAGCTGGCATCGCTGTGTGTCGTAGCAAGCGCAGCTGCACAGGACGTGTTCGATGGTCTCTTCGGCTCCGCAGTAGTCGCATGTAGGAGTGTCTGCCATACCAATGCGAAAAAAGTACACCTTTGTAAATGCAACACCCAACCAAAGGCGGCATAACAGTGTCGCATCAGAGCGGGAAAGTTGTGATGGTAGCTTTAGCTTGAGCGAAGGGTCCAGTTCATAAAATTGACACCTTTGGAAGCTGGTAGACGACCAGAATGTGCGTGCGAGATCTCGAGCCAGCAGGTAAAGTTGTTTTGCTGCATCATTCCTTGATAGAGGAATCGGGACTACGCGGGTTTCTTCATGGGCTGAGCGGGCTGCATCATCGGCCAATTGATTTTCGGTAATACCGATATGTCCAGGCAGCCATTGATATATAATATCATGCCCTCGTGCTAGAGCTTCATGATGGCAATGTCTTATTTCTTGTACCAGTTGGTCATGACTCCTCCTACGCATGGCAGACTGCAAACTCTGAAGCGCTGCCTTCGAATCACAGAATATGACCCATTTTCCTGGACGTTCTTGAACGAGATATTGTAAAGCAGCCCTTATAGCAGCAAGCTCTGATGCCGTAGATGTAGTCATATGCGACAACTTAAACTTGTCATTTCTGCAGCCGGAATTACAGCGGCACCTGATGAGCTGCTGGATGAGACGGACCCATCAGTGTATATCTGCGTTCAGTCTAAGTACAACTCATGTAATAATAGCAGTGTTGCTTGCTTCAATGCTACTCTGGAGTGACTGCTTTTCTTTTTGATTCCCGGAATTTCTAGACGTACTTGCGGCTGGTCGAGGCACCACAAAGGACATGCCGTTCTCGCAGTTGGCGTATATCCTGATGGAATGCTGTTTAGGTGCTTGGCTATGACGTCTGAAAACGTAGCACGTGGTCTTCCGGAAGGTAGAAGGGCCAAGTGGTGGTCGGCAATAAATGTCCATAGCATACCATGAGGATTTCAAGAACGCTACTGTATCGTAACACCCTGTTCCAAAGCATTGCTGGCCCTTGCATTCTTTCTCAAATAACTAAGAAATTTGTTGCTGCATTCGATCCTTGTATAAATAGTAGATCTGAGTACACTTTGAACTTTATATACGCAGCAAACTTGCATGTGTATTTTTGACACTGTGCATTGCTAAGGCTAAGGGCATGCTTTTGAGAAAAAAAAGAAAAAAAAGGTACTGATCGAAGAAATAAATGAAAGGCTGCCAGTAGAATCAGCGACAAGTCTTGTGGTTCCTAAAAGTTTGTGGATGGCATGTACAGATATCAGTAAGCCTAACTCGTACACTGCAGCGTAACCTGGACTAGTTTGGCTGATACATGACAGCCGCAAAGCATGCACTGGGCGGCATTGAAGTTACAATACCTCGTTATGCTCAGTATGTCGGCATGCGTTATTAACCAAATCAAGTAGCTCACTGGGCTAGTTTGTTGTGCACACTAAGGTTAACATTGCGAAAATAACGTACGTTATTTTCGCAATGTTAACCTCAAGTATGCCATGGTAACATCTCGGCCACAGTAGCCAAAGTTGCGCCGTGCTGGCGTCCGCCAAGCCGTTTCAGAAAACGCTGTGGAGCGTTCAAGTTGAGCTTGCTGACTGCTGTACCTGACTTGCATGAAGTATACTGTAGACTCTACAAGATTTATTTTTTAAAATGGTGCACTTCTTATGCATTGTAATACAAGTTTTCTATTCACAAGTTTTTAAAATGCGCACAATGACCAAAGCTGCACAGAAGAATGAATAGACATACGCATATTTCTAATCGAGAGCGATATTTATTATGACAAAGAAAGGAGGGTGAGCCATAAGCAGGCAGGACATCGGGAAAAACCTGCTTCAACTTAACTGAAATACAGCTTGACTTGTGAGACAGCCAATCTTGGGAAATTAAACATCTACTTGAAACTATTAGCAATGTGGCGGATAGTCGTGCGACATATATGTCTTTCGTAAATACTGAGAAATCAGTCGTGGCACTTTTTGCTGTAATGTTTCTATGCTGTGGTCATACCTAAGAAGATAGAGCGAGGAAAGAAATATGACCACTTCAAGTTTCTCAAGGGTACCACATTAGGTAAACTGTACCTCTGTTCAGTAGTGAATCATAAAAAAAGAAAGGTGTGAAGCAATGTGTTAGCAAATTGTATGATGTGGCACAATTACTGCCGATTGTGACTAGCTGAAGTGACATTTGCTGATTATCAGCCTCCCCCCCCCCCCCCCCAAAAAAAAACGTTACATGAAAAGCAGCTAGCAGCTCTCCACTTTGGTGTCTGAACGTGGCTTTGTCTCCTTGCAAGTCCATGATGGCAACCCGAACGCTGTGTTGTTCGAAATAGCACTCATGATGGCAAACGCATCGTCCTTGTCTAGCAACCCGCGCGTTTCGCCACTCGCATTAAAGTTGATAAACTCCTCTGGTGTGAGCGCCAGGAATCGAAGCTTGGGCATGAACGGGGCAATGGCGGTCTTGACGTCGACGGGCTTGTCGTTTGTGGTGGTGATCTTCTGGCAGAACGCCTGCGCCCATCTGTGCACTGCGAGCACCACGGACATCTCCGGCACGTTAGTCACCTGTGGTCGTGTGAAATTGAAAAGAAAAAGAAAAAAAACGTCGTGGCAAACTTGTTCACGGACAACTATCATTGCGATAAAAAAACCTCACTAATATACATATTTTATTAAATTCATATAAAAGTGGACAGCCAAGAGCTTATCAAACTGAGCAGGCAAATAAGGTATGCTTTTTAGCACAGTCTCCAGAGACTGACATATGCTGTTAATGTGATATTTATATCAATGTTAGCTTTGTGCAGTGATGGATTTTGTGTTACACTTTACCTTAATAGCGGTTATTTGCCAATTTCAGCTCTAAAAATTTTTTTTAAATTGTGACAGAAGGAAAGCACATCAGCTAAATCTCCCTTTTGATCCAATACAATGCATTGCGTAAAAATAAACTCTGCAAAACATTTGTGTACACAACAGCCAAGTTTTTCAAGGAAACGGTGTACTGTGTGTTTCTAGGATTTTCCATTTACCGTACTTACTCGCATAATCCTTGCACCTTTTTTGCTGTAACACTGATGCAAAGTTGGGGGGTGCGAGAATTACGCGGGGAAAAGGTTCTACAAAAACGTACCGAGCAAAAAGAAAACGAAGTGGCCGTAAATCGGGATTCTCACACCATCAGCTTACAGCAAGCTTTAAGAAGTACTAATGAGAACTTACCTCAACAATATAAAAGCAGAGGTTCAACACAAGGCAAGATTTATTTGAGACACAAAAAGTGAAAACAAATAGTAGAGAATTAAAATATCATACGCAAAGCTTGTGCGGGTTGCGGGCGTAGCGGTAGTGTTCGTCGCTCAACAGGAGCCCTAAAATATAAGCGTAGGACGTCAGTATTGGGATGATGGCTATTTAACAGAATCGTCCGCAGTTTCCTTCCGAAGAAATAAAGTTTACCATTAATCCCAGTTTTAGGCACACGGCACGGCAGGCACGACGCGTCTTGGTGACTTTCAGCTACCGTAACCAGTAGCGAGGCCCGACGCGTCTTGGTGACTTTCAGCTACCGTAACCAGTAGCGAGGCCCAACGCGTCTTGGTTGCTTTCAGCTGCCGTCACCAGTAGCGAACACAAAACTCGTAGACTCCGAAGGGCCTACCGGCAGCCCTGTAGCCGTTGTTTAGTGCATGATCTAGCACTTGAAACTTGAAGCAGCCGTGTAGCTTCAGTATCACCCCATAACGTGCCAAGATTACCGACACAGCATACAAAACACGCCGCAACGCGCACTGGCCACTTCGGCTTGGCTTGGATGGAATTGAATCTGCACGCAATAGTACGCTTGATGCTTAAGAAATGGCGCCAGATGGCGCGCGCTATCATCATCAGTAGCTGGAACGAGCAGACAACATTATTGCGGCAGTTTTCGGGGGTGCGATACTTACTCGAGGAAAAAAAGGAATCGTATTTTTCTTGGGCGAAAGGGGGGGTGCAAGAATTATGCGAGTGCGAGGATTACGCAAGTAAATACGGTACACCTATACAAGTTGTGGTCAAATCACGATAAACTGGTGCTGAATTTTTTTATTATCTAGCTTCAACGTTGGCTTTGTGCTACCTTTCAAATCAAGAGCTCACTGTTGCGGAGATATTCACTAAATCACAGAAACAGTCAAATTAAGAAAGTTGTTCGGAAATGACAGAGCTAGAAAAATTATTCTTGGCCTGCTAGCTTCAATAGTGCTAATGTGCTCCTTGTATTCGCATATTTGCAAATACTGTGGTTAAAGGTCGATCTGTGTATGGGACTAGCTTTTGTTTGTTGCGTGTAGCTTTCTCAAAAAATCAAGGTAATGCTTTTTCGGAACATGAAGTGCATTCAAGCCAGGCATAGATTTCATATTTAAGGAGATGCAGTGGCCAGTGAGTGAACTGCGCTTTGCACATCCCCATTTACAGTCAACCAATGTTGGACAAAGTATGACCATGTAAGCATTTGCCACCTTGTCCAGAACGAAGTGTACAGTCTCCTGCAAGCAGTCGGTGAAAGCATCAGACGCCAGGACAGCCTCGGGGTGCTCTTCCAGAAGTCGTCCCGCGACACTGTCGACATCCCTGCCACCAGCGAGCAGGGAGTAGTCGATCACGTGACACACCTGCTCGGCTGTCACGTGAGCCCTGATGTACTCCGAACAGCTTAGGGCTAAGTACGGTTCAAGGTACTTGTCGGCCGCAGTTCTTGTATACATTGCTTCCTTCGTGCTTTTGATCTTGGGCTTTCCGGTGTACAAGTACCTGGAGAAATGAGAAGGAATGATGCACATTTCTCACAGGGATTCGAGATGTAAAAAGGCAGGACTCAAACGACACAAGGCAGAAGGACACAGGACGATGCACGTAAGAGCCCTTCACACAGAATTGAAGTTCAGCCAAATAAAATGCCTTTTCACATCATGAATCAAAGCCAAATAGCCCAACATTTTATTGTACTGATAAAACATGGCAAGGATCCCCCTAGATGAATGTCCAAGACTACAATCTTCAAGAAACCTGAAGAAGCAATCCTCATTTGCAGTACACATATCAGGTTGAAGGAAATTTCACAATTAATTTCAAACCTCATGCAAAGGGGCCACACATTCTTAATTGTGTGCCCCTTCAGGCTAGCTGCCATAGTAATCGAGCTTTTGGCAGTTTGCATATATATTGTTATGAGAAGGAGACCGACTCGGAGGGGTAGTCAGCGATGTACTTACAGCCGGTTAAGCGAGCAGCGCCAGCCACACAAATTAGCTCGCACCAGTCTATCTGCTTTGTCTTCTTCAACTCCATGCACTGGCACGTGCATTACTCCCGGCTGTGAAGGCACTGTCCCGGTGCCTTAAAGGTAATTATCTGATGCATTCTTGTAGGGCTTGATCCGCGAGGCGTGTACAATATCACTGGACCGCACAGCAGATGATGATGGATAGATGGGGCTGATCTTGTAGGTGACAGGTGTTACTCGACGCAATATTCGGTAGCGTCCCGTGTGATGAGACAGAAGTTTTTCTGATAGGCCCAGTTGACGATGAGGGGACCAGAATAAAACGAGGGTACCGGGAGCGAAATGTACGTCTCTATGTTCCGCATCGAACCGACAGCATTGGTTGGTTTGCGATGCCATCAGCCGAGCACGAGCGAGCTAACGGGCATGATCAGCTTGCGCAATCGCGTCGCCGGGATACTCGCTGGTGGACGAGGTGTGAGCTGAGATTACTGTGTCCAGTGGTAAAGTCGGCTCTCTTCCGCACAATAAGTAAAACGGCCAAAAGCCCGCTGTGTCGTGACGGGAGGAATTATACGCAAAAGTTGCGTAGGGTAAGGCAAGGTCCCAGTCTCGGCGGTCGGGCGACACGTACATAGTGAGCATATTTGTTAGAGTGCGGTTAAATTGTTTCGCGAGGCCGTTTGTTTGAAGGTGGTAAGCGGTTGTCAGTGTGTGTTGCGGGGAACAAGAATGCAGAATGTCATCGATGTCTTGGGATAGAAATGTATGGCCACCGTCTGTGAGAAGCCGTCTCGGAGCACCGTGAATCAATATAACGTCCCGTAACAAGAAGTCAGCGGTGTCGGTTGCACAGCTGGTCAGTAGAGCTCGCGTAATAGCATAGTCTGTAATAACGGCCAGAAGAAACGGCGCCGGACGCGCTCGTACGTGCGGGATACGCCAAGGTGTCCTGCCGTGGGAGCGTCGTGAAGTTCAATGAGAACACAGCAGCGCAAATGCTTAGGATCAACAGTGAGAAGCTTGGGCCCGTCTGGTCAGAAATTGCGACGGTATAGCACACCCTTTTGAATAACAAAGTAGCGGACGGAAGCATCATTTGGGGAGGATTCCACATGGCTGATGATGTCAAGCAGCACTGGATCGCGCTTCTGTTCTTCCCCAATATTAAGGAAGTCAGACACTGACAAGATAGAGTTCTCCGTGGGCTCGTCAGTGTCCTCAGGATCGTCGACAGCGTACCGGGAGAGGCAATCGGCGTCATGGTGTAGGCGGCCAGATTCGTAGACCACCGAATAGGAAAACTCTTGCAGGTGCAAAGCCCAGCAACCAAGGTGGCCTGATGGATCTTTCAGAGACTTGAACCAGCAGAGCGGGTGGTGGTCGGTAACTACCGAAAATGGGCGTCCGTATAGATAAGGTCGAAATTTCGCCACCGCCCATACAAGAGCCAAGCACTCGCGCTCTGTGATCGAATAGTTACAGTCAGGGGTGGATAGGAGGCGGCTGGCATATGTAATAACGCAATCATGGCCTTGTTGTTTCTGAGCCAGCACTGCACCAATGCCATGTCCACTTGCATCTGTGCGGATTTCCGTAGGGGCAGCAGGGTTGAAGTGTGCCAAAATCGGAGGAGTAGTGAGAAGAGCGATGAGAGTCGAGAACACAGAAGTCTCTTCGGAGCCCCATAATAACGGGACGTCTTTCTTGAAGAGCTGCCTAAGCGGCCTCACTATGTGCGCAAAATTTTTCACGAAGCGTCAGAAGTAGGAATATAGTCTGATAAAGCTGCAGACATCCTTCGCAGATCGTGGTACAGGAAAGCTTTCGACGGTGCTGATTTTTGCCGGGTCTGGTTAGACACCGTTGGCGTCTACTAAATGGCCAAGTACTGTAATTTGATGGCGTCTAAAGTGACATTTGGATGAGTTTAGCTGCAGGACAGCGCAACGTAAGATTCCCAAGATGGCTGAAAAGCGCTCTATACGAGTTTCAAATGTTGGTGAAAAGACAATGACGTCATCCAAGTAGCACAAACAGGTGGACCATTTGAATCCTCTAAGCAGGTAGTCCATCATTCGTTCGAAGGTGGCTGGAGCGTTACAAAGGCCGAAGGGCATGACCTTGAACTGATATAGGTCATCGGGGGTGATGAATGCCATTTTTTCACGGTCCATTTCATCTACCTCTATCTGCCAGTAGCCGGAACGAAGATCTATGGAGGAAAAATAGTGGGACACACAGAGGCAATCAAGCGCATCATCTATTCGTGACAGAGGGTAGACGTCTTTTTGGTAATTTTGTTGAGGTGTATATATTCAACGCAGGAACGCCATGCACCGTCCTTCTTGTGGACTAGCACTACAGGAGAAGCCCAAGGGCTGCAGGATGGCTCAATGATGTCCTTGGCGAGCATTTTGTCGGCCTCACTTTGGCTAATATGACGCTCGGCCGCCGACACTCGATATGGACGCCTATGAATAGGATGCTCATTACCAGTGTTCATGCGGTGGGTCATACCAGTAGCTTTCCTCAGCGGACGGCTGCTGAGGTAAAAAAAGTCGATGTAGGACAGCAGAGCCCGGTGGAGCTCATCAGTCCGCAGCGGCATTAGGTTGAAAGCGACCATCGACGTAATAGCTCTGTCAGAGCAAGTGGGAGATTGATATTGAGCATGCGGTCAGAAGGAGCGGCCATTGTGAAAACATTTCCCGAATTGTCTTCTAAGGTGCAGAGCAATGCCAAATAGATCCCTTATGGCAGCACTTGAGGTGTCAAGCTAAAGTTGACAAATGGGAGGCGCGTAGAATTTCCTGGGACGGACAGAATAGTGTGCGGCAATGTAATGCCGCGGTTTATGAAAACATTGGTGATAGGGATCAGAACATAGTCACCGTCGGGAACTACTGGTATTGAGATGAGCTCTATGTAGGTCAGTGTCTGTGGAGGGAGACCTGCGTGTCCCGTTGTGCAGAAGCGACTTGGCCGTAGTGCAAAAGGTTCTGTTGCGGGCAAGTGTAGACGAAGCGTACCGGTCGAACAGTCTATGAGGGCAGAATGCGCGGACAGGAAGTCGAGGCCTAAGATTACGTCATGGGGGCATTTATCAAGGACGGTGAAGAGAACAACTGTGTGTCGATCCACAATGCTTACACGAGCGGAGCACATTCCAATGATAGATGCTATTCCGCCATCCGCAACACGAACGAACTTCATGTCGCAGGTGTGAGAACCTTCTTAAGCTTGCGGCGAAAATCACTCGTCATCATGGAAAGTTGAGCGTCGGTGTCGACAAGAGCAGTGACATGTACGCCGTCTATTTGTAAGTCTATTAGGGTCGTTTTGTCGGTATCGTCAAGAGAGGATTTTCGGTCAGTCCGAGCGATGCAGCGCCATCTTCGCGGGCTGCAACACTTAGATTTCCATCGGGGAACCTCGTGGGAAGGTGTGGGAAGACGGTCAGCGGGGCTGTGGAGAACGAGACTGGCGACACCCTTTAGGATATGCGCAACTTTTTCAGGCTCGGACATGTTTTCATCAGCTTGGTGGCATAGTGAGAGGACTGCCTGAATGTAACCGATGTAGGGCTCCCCGGAAGATTGTGCCCAAGTCAACAACTCATTTTTCGCAGCTTCACGATGACCAGAGGCGTTGCCAAAAAGCTCACAGATCTTTTCCTTGAAGCTGTCCCAGCTTGTTATGTCATGCTCGTGGTTGTCAAACCAAACATGAGGGGTTTCGTAGAGATAAAAGATGACGTTTGTGAGCATAAGTGTGGGATCCCACCTGTAAGTGGCGCTGACGCGTTCGTAGAGGCGCAGCCACTGGTTGACGACGGAACCCTCGCGGCCCGAGAAGACGCCGGGGTCGTTGAGGGTGGGTAGCGCCACGAAAGTTCTTGCGGGCGCTGGGTTGACAGGCCGCGGGCAAAAGGGCAGGCGACCAGGGAGGATGTAGCCGAGTCTTGAGTGGCCATGTTGAAAGCCGCGAGGGAGCATCCGCTTCGGAGTTCCGTGGCGAGGACGGGGATCGCACAACTCCACCAAATATGTTACGAGAAGGACACCGACTCGGAGGGGTAGTCAGAGATGTATTTACAGCCTACAGCCAGTTAAGCGAGCAGCGCCAGCCACACAGATTAGCTCGCGCCAGTCTCTCTGCTTTGTCTTCTTCAACTCCATGCACTGGCATGAAGTAATATAAAAAAGACATTTTCAACATCTAGCTTTAAGTGACACTTTTGCATGTATTTGTCTCAAAGGTCACATTTTTCACTTATATATGCGCAATTATCAACTAGGTTTTGTATTTGTGATTTAGTTCCAAGGAGTGCAAAAGCTAATTTTAGCTGGCTTTTAAGACATAGTTATAGTACAGCATTGACTATAAATGGCGAGATTTATGTGGGAACAATACCTGACTTTGCCGAGGTGCCCATAATGATCACTTTGACACCATGGAAGCACACGCATAGCTGAAGTGCCTATTGATTCACTTCCACATGAAAATTTTTGTTTAATGATAGTACTTTATCTACAACTGCTTTTGTCTCCATTTATTAGTGTGCTTCGTTATTCCAAAATGAGCTTGACGTCTGAACATTTTTCAATCGACAGGCAATGCTGAATCTCAATGTGATAAACAGTCAAACCTTGAAATAACGAATACAGGCACAACAAATTATCGGTGAGAACAAAGTAGGCAGAGTATAGTTTTGCCTTTAATGTTAAGCCTGGAATTTTAATTTATAAGAAACTTTCTAATGTAACAAAGCTATTTTAGTGTCAAATGCAGCTTTGTTAGGGCGAGGTTTGACTGTATGGGTATATAGCCATATTGTTGCCCAAAATTGCGTGTTTGCAGAAGTATCATTTGCTAGTGCATTACATAAGTTAAAGCTCAGTAAATTATGACGTTTTGACACAACTGTGCCAAACTCACTTTAGAAGGCCGTAAAAGCCATCGGGGTGAAGGTCTGTGATGACTACGACATCCTTTTCTGGGAGCTGACCGTAAAACATGGCGGCGAACACCTCGTTCCGCAGTGCCAGCAGCTGCCGGTGGGCCTTGAATGTCTTTGAGATGGGAAACTTTTCTGGTTTTACGGAAAATTCCACGTCCGAGTACTGGCCGCTTTGCAGGAACTTTTTGAAGTTGAACTGCGGTATGTACAGCAGGAGCCGATGTCAGTTGTATATATGTATCATGTTGTGACAGTGAAATATATGGAAAACTGGAGGGGGAGGTTTTAGAAGAAATCGGGCAGACTTGCGCATGAAAGACAAGTAACTTCGTGACAAACACGCAACACAGTTTTGAAGTTCATTATCGCAATGCACAAAAGTGGCGAGGCATGTGTAAGCCTCCCCTCCATTTCCCTCCTTCCAAAGGAGATATCATTGCTACCCCATCGATCAGCTTTACAGCCTTCGCTCAGCCTGAATCTTTAATATTTTTTCTGCATTTTGTTGCTGTTTATTGAGATAATAGTGGAACAGATATGTACTCACAAAAAACAAAACGCATTAAGCACCATGGAGTGTCCTTTCTTCATCCCGTCCTATTAGTGTTGGTTTTTCTGCTTGTGATCACTAATCAACCAGCCGAAATGTACACCCTACACAACTAGCACTCACAGTACAATAATGGTAACAGGTGCATCAAAATATGATGCTAACATGGCGGTTGCTTCTATATGATCCAAGGCACACTTCAGAGCTATTTATGGTGCTTTAGAGCAATTTCTGGTCACGATGACTTCGCGCTTTTGCAGACGTGTGTACTTAAAGAAACGTGGGTCGCGGCGAATTGTCCAGCCTAACATGGTCCATTATTTCGAAATAAGTTTTTTTCGCATGAACTTTATTGCATTTTCCTAGCACAATTATAATTATTTTTCTCCTGATCCCTGCATATATTACTTCCAGGTCTGTCTAAGTATGGATAGCGACTTTATTATCTTGTCATTCCTCTCTTGAAGCCATCTCCCATAAGAATTTCTGGGACTAGCTACGTTATCTATTCTTTAATAAATCTAGCTTCTACACCTTCTCGACAGATTCCGTTCGTCCTTTGACAGCCACCATGCTTCCCTCGTCTGTACGTCAGCTGTGAGTCACCGCATTGACACGGGTACCTAGGCATCACTGCGATAAATTTGCATCATTTGTCGACGTTACAGTGAAAGGTTATTGACAGCCAAGTAACTGACATCAAAGTTTACTTTAAATACACTAGAGTGAACTCCAGCGCTTATTTCTATGGGAACTGCAACACACGGCGCATCAGCGAGCATGAGAATGATGGGTAGTGCAATAATTTGTCAAACCTTCGTACTATTAGCTCCTATTGACTTCTTGTGGCTTGGAGCTGCTTTGTCATGAGACGACAATCAGTAAAGGCTTAGCAGTTACACTTCACCACCACAACCTTTTAATCTCACCAATTCAATTTGGGTCATGAAGTTCGAAATGGTTTGTTCATTTATTTGAAACAAAACCAAAACACTTCTATAAAGGAAGCCCGTTCGAAGCGCGCAAGCACAAATACTAGGCAAATCCTTGTTCTATTCATCAGTCACATGGTCGCTGAACGATCGCAGAGCCAGAGTGCCCTCCAGTTATTTTAAGGGAACTTTGTGGCCGACATGCTCAAATGTGACATCATCCAGCCTTCGAACAGTCCATGGGCATCTCTAGCTGTGTTTGTTAAGAAGAATGGGTTGATTCACTTTTATGTTGATTACCATTGTCTTAACAAGATCACTTGGAAAGACGTTTACCCCTTTGCGAGAACTGACGAAGCCCTTGACTGCCTTAAAGACGTGGAATTCTTTTCTTCTAACAGACTGTACCACCATGACCAAGCGTCCACTTTATCTTCTAGTCTATTGGAGTGGCTATAGGCAAGTCGTCTGGTGCCTGACGACCAGCCTAAAATGGTCTTCATCACACCCAATGGCCTTTATATGAATTACGGATCATGTTTTCAGGTTTTCGCAACACGCATGAAACATTCGTGTGCATGATGGACAACTTATTAAGAGGTCAAGAGTGCAGAAGCTGCCTATTCTATTTGTATGACGTGATTGCATTTTCATCAGATTTTCCAATGCACCTCCGTATAGGCTGGAGGAAGTACTGCATAGCCTAACGGACGCTGGCCTTCAGCTGAACCTGAAGAAGTGCCGATTTGTAGCAAGGCAGCACGCCATCGTTGGCCACATTCTATTCTTCCAGACACTGCAACAAGTTGCCATACACATAGGTGTATAGCAGCTCATGGTATACTACATTAAAAGTGTGAAGACATGCATGAGATAATAGCGACACCTATTGAAACAAGTTATTGTGCTTGCATTGAAAACCGTAGCCATAATATAGCTGGGGGACGTTAAAGCTATGACAGAAGAATGTCGATTGATTTGGATACAGCTATCAGTTTGCATGCACCTCAGATCTTTCGGTACTATTAATTCACTAAACGTAGGCATTGCCAAAAAATATGGTTGATATAAAATAGTGTAACATCTGAGTCGATGCACTTACCGCAAGCATTGTGCTCGATGTCGTCTCTTATGATCACCTGGCGGAGGAGATTGGGCACAGCGAGCCTGCAGAAGTCGATTATTCATGTATAAGTGCTCAAGGACAGGAGGACTACTGATTTGCAGTAATTTTTGTAGCAACAAAAGTTTCACTTTGGAGCACTTCATAGTGCCGAACAAATTCTCACATTAGAGCATTCTGCATTAGAGCTAATATACAACTAAGTGTACTTCGTAGAAGCCCATTGTACTTCACATACCAATACCTGAATAATAAAAAATAAGCATTCTTATGAAGAGTTAGATAAATGTTATTGCAATTACAATATAGACCCTTTTGTTGGGTTCTTGAAGTCGTCGTCATGTCCTGTACTATATACACGAGATGTGTTCAAAAAGAACCAAACTTTTTCTATAACACCTCTACTACTTGTGGTACAACCTTTTAAGCATTTTCCCCCCTGAAACTATTCCCCTCTACTAGCAGTACCATTCCCATCGTTTCTTCCATTTCTGGAAGCCTCAGGCAATGCACTTTATTGAATGGCCCGCAGGTCTTTTCTCGCGATGTCCTGAATGTCCTCGGTAGTTTGGAAATGGCATCCTTTCAATGTGGTTTTACGTTCAGGATAGATGAAACAGAAAAAAAAAAATTATGGCATTATCCTAAGCTATAATAACCATGACGGCAACTTCTCGAACCGTCTAACAAAGATTTCCTCTAATAACAACTCTAGACGTCGTCATCATCTGTTGTTGTGGAAGGTCATCTAAGCTTTGGATTGTCACCACCCGACATTTTACCATGTTCAAAACGCTTTAACCACTCACAGCACTGCGTGCGACTCATACAATCTTGCCTGAACACATTGTTAAGCAACTGAAATATCCCTTTGAAAGTTTTCCAAACCTTTCACTAGAACTTAACACACACACATTGTTCTTCGAGCTCTTAGTTTTTTTGGTACTACTAATTTGAAGAACAACTTGTAAATTTGCTCACTTTAGTTGCTCCAGCTTGTAAACTAACGGTCAGAGCGAATTGTGGCAGATGACAATTTCTAGTTTAAGGTTGCCGCTATGAGCGGTTAGTAGCTGCAGTGCGCTCCCTCCGGTGCCTAAATTGGTGCTTTATTGGAAAAGTTGTTTTTGAAAACAGCTCGTCTGTTATTGTCAAATAGATCTTCAGTGAAAACGGTAACAACGGAAGCATTTATTTGGACAGTTTCGGCCAGTTCTGGCCTTCGTCAGGAATGAAGGTACTTGCTGTTTGCGACCACATTTATAATATTTTGTGCGAAAATATTAGAGGGGAAGAATGGCTAAGACAAAAAAAGAGAAAAAATAAATAAAAAGATTTCAGGGGTCACTACACTATAACAGTGGCGTCGTGATTGCTTGTTTTCTTAGAACCTTTGCGTTCAGTGTACTTGGGTGGCATTCCTTTTTGGTGTAGACGGTGGCCGGCTAAGGTAAGGGCTCCTGCGTCGCGGAAGCCCTCTCTTTTCTGACCGACCGACCGTCACTAATCAGGCGTTTAACGGGGATGTGGTGGGACTGTAGGTTGGCGTGGAATGGGCGTTTAATGTGAATACTATTTTGTTCTGAGATTCCACTATCCGGGGCTTGTAGTTGCATATGCGGTGGCTGTTAGACTTATTGGGCTTACATCCATTGATATACAAATGAATGAAACAAAAGATATAGAAATGAATGACAGTAGCACATTAGAACGGATGGTTACACTACACGGAAAGATATTTGCAATTGTCCATTCTTCGTTGCAGTTATATATACAGTGCCGAGAAATATATATGGAGTTAAGCGTCCCAAAACCACCATATGTTTAACTGTGAGAAGGAAGAAAAACAATATGCCGTGGTGGGCCATCTCTTTAGCAGAAACGTCGAGCGCGAGTTGTTGGCCCTAACGCTGTGATTCCTGTGTCGGTCGTTGCCGCCCGCTTTCAGTATCAATAGACCTGCCGTGCAAGTGTTGTTTACATCAATAAACCCCGTTTCAGAGTGGCCCACTACGGCGTATTGTTCTTCTTCCTCCTTTGCATAACGAACAATTCGAGTAGTCCGGAGAAAACTATTTATTGTTTGTCAACTAGTCGAACACAAGGGAGAACCAAGAAGCATTCTCTTGCTTGCTCGGGCGACTCGTCACTATTTTTCCCTCTTCTCTGGCTCAGTCCCCCATGATCTAATTCTGTGCGCTGAAGGCGCGTCACTATTCCCTCTTCTCTGGCTCAGTCCCCCATGATCTAATTCTGTGCGCTGAAGGCGCGTGTAGACATGGCCGATTCCTGTTAGAGTTACTGTATATGCTCTCTAAAGGTAGCACAAACAGTAACTCCAATTCTTGTAGCTACAGCGCACTGTTGTCTACTAGGAAGGCGCGCGTATTTTGAACAGTTACCGTGTTTACTCGCGTAATCCTCGTACTCGCATAATTTTCGCACCCTCCACATCGCCCACCAAAAATACGACCTCTTTTTTTTCCTCGAGTAATTATCCCAGCCCCGAAAACTGCCGCAATAATGTCGTCAGCTCGTTCCAGTCACTGATGATAGCACGCGTCATCTGGCGCCATCTCTTAAGTATCAAGCGTACTATTACTGCACGGAGATTCAATCTAATCTAAGCCAAGCCAAAGTGGCAAGTGGGCGTTGCGGCGTGTTTTTTTATGTTGTACCGGTAATCTTGTCACGTTATGGGGCGATACTAATGCTACACGGCTGCTTTCAAGTTGAAATTGATAGATCATGCACTAAGCAACGGCAACAAGGTTGCCGGTAGGCGCTACGGAGTCGACGAGTTTTGTGTTCGCTACTGGTGACGGCAGCTGAAAGCAACCAAGACGCGTTGGGCCTGCCCTGTGACTAAAAGTGGGATTGATCGTAAACATTATTTTTCCAGAAGTGCGGATGATTCCGTTAAATAGCCATTAGCTTAATACTGACGTCCTACGCTTACCTTTTAGGGGCTCCTCTTGGGCGACAAACGCTACCGCCACGCCCGCAACACCCACAAGCTTTGCGTATGGTATTCGAATTATCGACTAGTTGCTTGCAATTTTCGAGTCTCAAATTAGACTTGCTGTCACACACTTCGGGTGAGGCCCCGCCGATCCAACATCGGCGTGCGGCAGACTCGCAGGCTTCCACTTTACGCTTCGGCCTGCGACGCCTGAAAGGCCTCAAAGTGGCACATTTCAAATTTATTTGCAGGTTGGTCGATCCGTGCGGGGTTGCACGTGTGGTGATGGGTGGGCCTGACCGACGCACTCATAGAGCTGACACGGAGATTTGATTACACACAAAAAAATCATTTAATTAAAACAGGGGCAAAGCAGGAGATTACAAAAAAAAATAACAAAGGAGGAAAACTGATACGCACGATGGAAAGAAGAGCTATATAACAAAATACGCAAAAAAACACTACAAACGATGCAGACTAAAGACAAATACGCGGAATGTTAACAAACTAATCCCATGAATCGAAGGAGATACAAGAAAAATTACATGAAAAAGATTACGGTCGGGCTTTTCAATTTCTACATGCGACGCAGCGCACACAACTACACATATTAAAAAAAAAGGCTGGTTATAATAAATTAACGATTTAAAAAAAAAGTCACAATAAAAAAAAGTTTGACCATGCCAGCTCTTGGTGCACGTAGGGGAGTTGACGGGTGCCGCTGAAGGTCTCGCCGGCTTGGTAGACGACGAGGGTGCCCGGAATTGCAGCCGTCTCAATACGTTGCGCAAGTCACTCAATGCTCGCCGCCTACGCGAGACTCGCGACACCGACGACCGCACTTGTTGCTGGCTGTACGTCAACTGCTATTCCGATGCAGTTCAAACCTCTTCAGGGGCGTCCACGTGCTCCCATCTCATCTGGGAGTAATTTTCCTTGTTGAGACCGCCGGTGCCCCTTCCAGTACAGGGGCAGGGAAGACGAGCCGGCGCCACGCTGGGTCGTAAAAGTCGCCGGATGTCGTCCCCCCAACACAAAAGCGCCCCTCCTTGGAAGATGGGCCCGCGGATGATCCGAAAATTGGAGTCGTTTGTGACACTTGCCTTGTGTTGAACCAGTGCTTTTAATGTTGAGGTAAGTTTTAATTAGTACTTCTCAAAGCTTGTTGTTAGTTGCTGGCGAGCGAATCCCGATTTGCGGCCACCTCGTTTTCTTTTTTGCTCGGTAGGTTTTCGTGGAAAGTTTTCTCCACGTTATTCTCGCACCCCCCTACTTTGCATCGGTTTTCCGCAAAAAAAAAAAAAAAAATGCGAGGAATATGTGAGTTAATAGTATGCATCAATACATGATTATGAGAGACGCCGTGGTGAATGGCTCCGGAAATTTCGACCACATTAACTGCGCCCACATCTGAGCACACACAGGCATACAGCATTCTCTCGCCTCCATTGAAAATGCAGATGTCGCAGCCCGCGACCTGCGGGACAGCAGCCGAATACCTTAGCCACTAGACCACCGCGGCAGGGCAAACTTGTGAGTGACTGCAAGGCCAAGTCGTTGGGGGACAACTGATATTATTCTAGTATCTGCGGCTAATGATTTCACGTGAACCACCGTTCTGGCGCCATGAAGTGCGCCAAAAAGACGAAATAAGATTTGGCTATATTTACATCAGCGCATTTTAACATGCTTGAAATGAGGCCTAAGGAGTGTTCCTGGAAGCTGAATGCGTGCCTTTGACTCGGCTGCCTGGTAAATAAAGCCTTCAAAGGTGGTACAAACCAGTGCACAGTAACTGCGAAGCACGCTGTTAAAACAAGATAGCCTTCGGGATTTAAGAAACAGTGTGAAACTGGCATGATAGCATTCAGCCGCCCCTAATATAAATATTGAGGTCACGTTATGTGTACTCACGTTACTAATGAAACAATCGAGCGCATTGGAGCTCGTATACGCATCAATGCTCTAGATATCTGACTACCGACATAAACATTGTATGTTTTCGTCGCTGCTTTTGTTACTTTTCGTTGTGCGTTCGTATTCAATTATCGCATCACAGCTCGACGATGTTCTGCTTCCAATACGCGCATGAATCGAGAGCACTATGGGCATCTATGAGAAATCCGATTGTAGCATTCTTTGACGGTGAGCACCCTCCTCAAACAGGAAATGACTCGGCGCAATTTAGACACACCTGCACATTCATTTGTGCACCATGACGTGTAGCAGGCGTTGAGAAGTCATTTAAAGCTCAGTAATGCGTTACCAGCAGTCGAAAAATTGGGGAACCTTTAAGCTTCGAGTTGAACGCGATAGAGAAATCCTAGTACACCCTTTAACCGCTAGGCGCATACTTATACATATGTTTTGTTACATACACATGCACGCACACAAACACGCACACAGTAGATTGGATCAGGGCGCGCTATTATCGCCGAATGGGCTTGTTTTCGTCGTGACACTTGTGGAAAAAAATGCGTTAAAGGAGCCCTGAAGCACTTTTTCAATTACCCAAAAATTAATTCACTGGAAGAGCTTATTGCCTCACGAATATAAGGCCGCAAAAAGGTTAACAATCGGTCCAGTGCAAGTGGAGTTACAAAGGTTTATCGCATGCTGCAATTGCATTACCTCTTCTCTCGTCCCGACGAAAGCACTGGAAGCTAAGCAGGGAGGCGTGGCAGTGCAAAAAAACTACCGCGCCTCGTGACCTTGAGCACTTTTGTTTTCTTCGAATGCGCGACTTTCACAGTGTGATCGCGCGCGCACGTGTGCACAAGTAGCGGTCTCCCGCGGCTATTTCGGTAACTTGAGTTTCCGGTCACAGACGAGTTTTCGCTCGCAGCCAACGGGGCCGGCGGCAGGTTTTCTGCGACACGAGCTCTTCAACGCTTTCGCGTTAAAATGCGCGATTACGCGCTTTTGATGGCTACGACGCGCGCGCCAAATTTATACAGACGCTCTCTACAGCTTCAGCAACTACACCGCTACGATCGCCCGTCGGAACATCACCCAAGACGCGGCCATGCAATCGGACGCAGCCGTTCGAGTCGCTTCACTGCCCCCCCCCCCCCCCCCCCCCGCTTCTCTCACTGCACTAGCGGGGCAAGCTGGCGCCGGGGCCCGCCGCCACGTTGGCGCCTTGGCGCGACAGTGGAGACGGCGCCTCCTCTCTGCCTCGCTATCTGATGGAGTTGCGTCGCGTGGACGGCAGTTCTGTGTTCGAGAAAATGTGCGCGTCTTTGAAGCTGTCTCTTTCGTCTGTGGGCTGCACTCACGCGCGGAGGCTTCGTTGGCTACGTCCAGGGAGTGACGATCTGCGCACGGGGGCAACCTTCATTGGCAGCCTGCGTGCGCAGTGTTGTCGCGGGCAGTCAAATGAAACTGTAATTAAGGAGTTGATACCGTTATGCGCGTTTTTGTACCAGTCCACGTTCTGGGAATGATACAATAAGTTATCAAACGGCTGATTGCAGATTGTGTCTGCACCGCTGAAGGCACAATATGTCGCCTTTAGACGCGGTTTCGTGTAACACCTAATAACTTTTGCATCGGTAATCATGCAAGGTGTAGCTTGCTTCCACTCGCGCAAACGTGAAAAAAAAAAAAGGAAATGTAGGGAACACTTCGGAGTACTAAATAAATATAGTGGCTATTGTTTAATATTCGCAACGGCCACGGCCTATAAGTGGCGCGCCATGTAATCCAAGATTGGTCTCTCCAAGATGGCTGCGCAAGGATGGTCAACCAGTGAACACGCATAGCAAAAGATAGTACGCACGGACGTACTCCCCGTGTCACTTTCACCGCATGAACTCTTCATCGTCAAATGAATGTATAGCGAACCAAAGCACTTTCGGAACTGCTGAGTGTTCGCTACCTCATTTCTCGCCGCAGTGCAAAGGGCGGTGGCGTCAGCTAATCTACCGTGCATCAACGATGCTTCGCGTGATCGTGTGCGCGCTACAGAAAACTGCGCGAACTAGAATTCACGTATGAAGTGCACGGCACTCCGAGATCATTTGTGCAGGGCCTGTCAGGCGGATTTGCCGCAGTAGTAGGCCACTAGCGATGAGCGCGCCGTCGCGGCTGCACAGGAACGAATGTTTAACGTAGCGATGGTTTGCAAACATATTTCGCCATCGTCATAAAAACATATCTGTAAGCACCACGGAGTTGCTTCTTCAACGGAGCACGAGCATTTAAATTCCTAATAAGTAGCGCTCGTGTCACAGCCGTGATCTGACTCTAACAGTGCGCAATTCACCGCACTCGTATGTTACAGGTTCCGTCAGCGCGATCGGTATAAGGATATTTAAACGAATACACGCGTAGCTTATTGCAACGTCTAAATTGCGAAAATCTGTCGCACAACAACGTCGTTCGGACGGCACCAGTGAAGTGCAGGAGAAGTTAGCGTGGACTGTAGTCGTAACTGCGTATTTCATTGATCTAACCATTTCGCTTCGCTGGTCGAGCTCGAGCGTGTTGGCGGCTTGTGGCGCTTTGTAATATCCACTGAAATTGGGATACATTCAATGCACAACAAAAAAGTATACTTTTATTTTGAGCTTGCTGAAGGATATCAGACAATAAATACAATCAAAGTGACTTACGAGCGTGAAAAAAAAAAAAAAAACATTAATGCACGGCGGGACGTGAAGTGCAACTCTGCTCGTGAGCTAGCAGCCGATCGTTCATCGCCACTTTCACTCTCTGCGCGTTGACAACCATCAACGTCCAGTGAAAAATCCTCGACCTCAGGATGGTTTCTTTGAACATAACTGCTGAAAGTAATCTGAAAAACTGAACCCACTGCTACTTGGTACACATTACTTTAACAGAAAAAAAAAACAGATAACGATCAGAGCGCACGCACACACACCCGAGCGCGCGTCAGAATAAACGATAAGTACGCGGGCCGTGATAATGAGAACCATATCGATAACACCTTCGAACGCAACGCAAGATCGGCGCCACAACTAATCGGCAAACAAAACATCGCAATACATTGGGCATGAGCGAAATTGGGCGAACGGGCCAGATATCAACGAATATTTCTGCACTCTGATGCGGGAACCCGTGACAATTGTAACTCATCCTGCCATAGTTTCGTGATCGCCTACCGCAACTGTACAAAATGGCGAGGGTAGCGACATGGGCGAACACCGAGGAGTCAGGAAAAATGAACCCGTTTTCACGAATATTATAACAAAAATACGAGATCCTGTGGGGCAGGCTGTCGGACTTACCGAGAGGTTCACCAGGCGCGCTTCACCACGTGCAATGTTGAGGTCAGTGCGCAGAACGATTTTTCGCCGTATTCCACAAATACCCGGTCTTCCAGCGCCTGCAATGTTTCTCAGGCCTCACACTCAAACCTTCCAACACAACACGAGTTGTACTACCACCACGGTCAAGCCACCGACTGCAAGCTAAAAAAAAAAAAAAAGATGTGTCCGCTGCCAGCCCTCTCTCTCAACCTTTGGGGGATATTCGGTTTCTCTGGTGTTGCTCAACGCGTACTCTACGCCTGTCGGTGGCGCCCTCCTTCGTCATACCTTCGCAACGCTGATTGCTGCCGAGGCGTAGTCTGGTTGTCCTAGAGCGCCTCGATGTGCGCGCGCCTCCGCTATAAGTTGTTCAGCCATGAGAGGCGCGCAGAGTATCGTTTTTCGCCTGTTCGTAATACATATCTCCTTTAGATTCAGGCTTGAATTGGTGAATGGTAGCGACCGCTGGTTCTGGCTGTACTACGTAGTACTTGAAGTACAACTATTGTGCCGTTTCCTACGACAATGAACTCTCACTGGAGAGTTTATTGTCAAGGGACTCATGGAAATAGTTCAGAGAACGGAAAATCACTAAGCTGAGTATTCACTTGAATACGGAATAACATTGGGCACCTCATAAAAGAAAAAAAAAATAGCGAGATACAATTTATTTTGAAAATAATTTTGTTTGAATTTTCATCAGGAATGGCGACCTTACAGTGCCAAAAAAGACAAGCTCCCTAGAGAGCCTACGTTTTAAATGCGAATGTATATCTTAGTGGGCCTATGTCAGGCGTCCATCGGTGTCCGCGAGCCCGCAGGTGTTATCTCTCCGTTCTCACTCCCTCCTCCATAGCAACAGCTGCGGGCGCGCATGCTTATCCTCACCCCTAGCAACTGGAGCAGGGGGTGTGGGTAGAGTAGTGGAGAGTGAATGGAGAGGATGTGCTTGCTCTGGCGTGTGAGGGCGCTCGCATCGCGGGAGCTCCGGAAGCAGTGTAGGTGTAGTATACTACAGTGACGTACCAACTCAACTCTTTGGCGAGTGGGGGAGCAAACACCTACCTTACTCGTCAGCTGATATATATATATTGTGGTAAAGCCTTTGAACAGTGGGTCATCCTCTTCAGCGCCTTCTAGTGGGTCGCCCTTTTTCTTAAGAAGAAGAGCAGCTCGTGCAGAGAGTCGATCCCCGCATTGACTGTCGCTGTCGTGAATCATCGCTGAGTGTCCGTCAATAAACCGCTTAACAATTTGGTGGAGAGTGCTGAGAGTGCTGTGCCCTTCAAACACCTTCGGTCAGCATTCGATGCCTTTGGAGCTTCGATCCCGTACCGTGCCTCCAACCATGTACCAAGACGCCGCCCAGCAAACCCTTCCTCCTACGTCGCCGCCATGTCCCGGTGTCCCCCGCGTCCGCGACCCTCCTGTCTTCACCGGCGCGGATGGCACCGACGTCGAGGATTGGCTTGCCATGTACGAACGTGTGAGCGTCCCCAATCATTGGGATGAGGCAGCTAAACTAGGTAACCTGTTCTTCTACCTTGCGGGTGTGGCCGGAATGTGGTACAATAACCACGCATCTGATTTCCCAACTTGGTCCGCTTTTAAAACCGCTGTCGTCGACGTGTTCGGCCGCCCTGCTGTTCGTAAGCTGCAAGCTGAACAGCGTTTACGTGAACGAGCCCAGCAGACCGGTGAGTCCTTCACAAGTTATATCGAGGACATCCTTGACTTGTGCAAGAAAGTCGACCCGAACATGTCAGAGGCTGACAAAATCACGCATGTTCTAAAAGGCATCGCCGACGATGCCTTCACCATGCTCCTGGCAAAGAACCCCCGCACTGTGGCAGAAGTCATCATGTTATGCCAAAGTTACGACGAGCTGCGGCGGCAGCGCTTGATGACCCGTCGTCCGCCACCACGTGATGCTGATCTCTCGGCCTTGTCAGCAGTTCCAGACCACGCAACCTTGCTCGCCGAAATCAAGTCGTTCGTGCGTGAGGAAGTTGCCCGCCAGGTCTCTCTACTGGCTTTTGCTTCCCCACAACAAGCTCAACAGCCATCAAGTACACTTCTACCTCCGCTCCGCCGAGCCATTCAGCAGGAAATCGCGGAGGTCGTCTCTGAATACCACCAGCCACCTCCTGCATCTGTGCCACTCAGCTACGCCCAAGTTGTTGCCAGGCCGCCCCCACCGATTTCTGTCACTGTTCCGCTAAATTACACCGAAACCGTCGCGAGGCCCCAGGCCTTTGGAGAACCTGTCTCGCCTACATACGCCGGCGTCACCCACGTGCCCCGAGTGCCGCCTACCATGCACTCATATCAGCAGCCGGCTCGCCAATCGCGTTCTGCGACAGGGATGCGACCAGCAAACCAATGGCGCACTGCTGATAATCGCCCCATCTGTTTTGCTTGCGGTTGCGTCGGTCATGTGGCACGATATTGCAATCGTGTGCAGCAACCGCAGGTCGCCTTCAACTTTCCCAGCCAGTCAAGACGCTCTTATGACCAACCGCCGCCTATGTCACCGTCGTCCCGCCCCATTCCGTCTACCCGCCGTTCACCATCTCCACGACGTCGCTCACTGTCACCGATGCGGCCACGTCCACTCGAGGGCGACCAGGAAAACTAGTCGTCGCAGTCCACGAGGCAAGGGCTGCGACGCTGTCGAACTGCGGAAGCCCTCAGGAAAGCCCGTCGAACGTGATAGACGTGCTTGTGGATGGCGTTCGTGCATCTGCCCTTGTAGATACTGGAGCCGCCGTATCCGTGATGGACGCAAAACTTAGCCGATTACTGCGCAAAGTGACCACGCCGCTTTGCGGGCTCTCCCTCCGTACAGCCAGCGCCCAAAGAATTCACCCTACAGCGATGTGCACAGCCCGCCTTATGATTCAGGACGTGATGTATGCGGTCGAATTCATCATAATTTCTTCATGCTCTCACGACGTCATCCTAGGATGGGATTTTCTCTCCCGCCACGACGCCGTCATTCATTGCGCACCAGCAGAAATAGAACTCGCGCCATTCTCTTCTTTGACGCCGGCCGACAGTCCATCCGCTGCAAGCAAGTTACTCGTCAGAGACGACACTCAAGTGCCTGCAAACTCGTCCGTTGCGGTGTCGCTCTACTGCGCAAGCCTTTCTGACACCGCTGCACTCCTCTCGCCATCTCATCGTGTTTTCATAAGAAAAAGCTTGCTGGTTCCTTTCGCGACCGTCCAACTCACTCACGGCAGCACCACTATTATTGTTGTGAACCCATCTCCGTACAGCGTTACGTTGGTGCGAGGAGAATGTCTCGGCAGCGTGGAACCCATCGAAGACGCGCAAGTTATGGATCAACCCGATGACATGCACTACCCAAGTTCCTGTACGCTTGGTGCTGTTTCGACATCTGCTTCATCATCCGATGATATATTCGGTCCCTGCATACCCGACGACCTTACGCAGGGCCAGCGTTCCCAGCTTTTGGGCCTGTTGGAAGAATTCCGCTCTTCTTTCGATGTCGCTCAACCTTCTCTCGGCCGCACATCCACCGTTACGCATCGCATCGACACAGGCGCACAGCCACCGCTGCGGCAACGTCCATATCGCGTATCTCCCACAGAACGCCGTGTAATCAACGAGCAAGTCGACGACATGCTTCGCCGCGATGTTATTCGCCCCTCTAGCAGCCCCTGGGCATCTCCTGTCGTTCTCGTCACGAAGAAGGACGGTTCTGTGCGGTTCTGTGTGGACTACCGACGCCTCAACAAGATCACTCGTAAGGACGTGTATCCACTACCGCGGGTAGATGACGCGATCGACAGCCTGCAAGGAGCAGAATTCTTTTCATCCCTCGATTTGCGCTCAGGGTACTGGCAAGTACCTATGGCTGAGGACGCTCGACCAAAGACCGCTTTTGTCACCCCCGACGGCTTGTACGAGTTTAACGTTATGCCGTTTGGGCTGTGCAATGCGCCCGCCACCTTTGAGCGCATGATGGATACAGTTCTGCGTGACCTGAAATGGCACACGTGCCTGTGCTACCTCGATGACGTCGTCGTTTTCGCTCCTGACTTCTCGACGCACCTTCAACGCCTTCGGCATGTTTTAACGCGTCTGAGAAACGCCAGTCTGCAACTGAACCTAAAGAAGTGCCAATTTGCAGCTCGGCAGCTGACAATACTCGGCTACGTCGTGTCCAAGGACGGAATTCTCCCTGATCCAACCAAGCTTCGGGCCGTGACCGAGTTCCCCAAGCCGACAACCGTGAAGGAACTGCGCAGTTTCGCAGGACTGTGTTCCTACTTTCGGCGCTTCATTCGAAACTTCGCGACTATCATATCGCCGCTGACGAAGCTTCTCGGAAGTAACGGGCCTCTCCATTCGTGGTCATCACAGTGCGACGACGCTTTCAGAACACTTCGTCGTTTGTTGACGTCGCCTCCCATACTCCGCCACTACGACCCTACGGCCCCTACAGAGGTACACACGGATGCCATTGGTGTCGGCCTCGGCGCTGTCCTTGCGCAGCGCAAACCAGGGTTCCCGGAATATGTCGTGGCGTACGCGAGCCGTACGCTTACTAAAGCCGAGACTAATTACACAGTCACCGAGAAAGAATGTTTGGCAATCGTCTGGGCCCTTGCAAAGTTCCGACCATATTTGTATGGTCGGCCATTTGATGTCGTCACCGACCACCACGCACTATGTTGGTTGTCGTCATTGAAAGATCCCTCAGGCCGTCTCGCCCGGTGGGCACTTCGCCTGCAAGACTATGACATCCGCGTGCTGTATCGCAATGGAAGGCAACATGCTGACGCCGACGCCCTGTCGCGCTCTCCCTTGCCTGACGACAATGCCAACAACTCAGTGTCTCACCTTGCCATTTCCTCGATTAGCATTCATGCTATTGCTACTGAACAGCGCAAGGATCAATGGATTGCCTCACTCATAGACTTGCTGACTGATCCATCCACTCCATCCACTCGCGCGTTGCGTCGTCAAGCCCACCATTTCGCCGTTCGCGACGACCTCCTCCATCGACGCAATTACAACGGTGACGGTCGCCAGTGGCTACTAGTCA